CCCCAAAACCCCAAAACCCCAAAACCCCAAAACCCCAAAATATCACCTGGTATTGAAAACTTCATTAAAGTTTACACTTTAATGAAGTACTCATTTACACATTATTTTAGAAGGACGATATCTGAAGTATTAGCCCAGATTTAGTATTTTCTTCATTTTGCTCCCTGAAATCCCTAGGCTATCTGACTGAGTGAACAGCATAGGTAAGGATCCTTGGTTTCCAAGAATCTTGAAAAACCTTTTTCCTATTCTGAGTTAGATCAGGAATTAAAATGCTTCCATATGAAATTTTTAACAAAATTTCATAAGTAATCGAAACTTACAGTGACTCATCCGTCCAGTGATGCTCATTAGTCCTGGATGCTCTGAATTCTCCGAGACCTCTGGCTGAGGAGAGAAGGACCTAGGTTAGGTTAGAACATTGCCTTTGTATTTACAGTAAGAAATTATTCAAATGGAACATAACTACTACTGGATGATATACATTCTGAGGAAGTTTCCTCAGAATGATGATAGCAAGAGACTCACCTTATCTCATAATTCCTCTTTGTTCTCTCAATTCTGGGAGAAAATCCTCTAGGGATCCGAGAGCATTTCCGAGACTGCTGAAAATGAGGTCTTGAGGACCCCACTCTCGGATCAGATTCACCGACAGAAGGCAAGTTCTGGGTCGAACAAATCTCTGCATTTTTCATCCCAGTTATTTGTCTTTCTATGAACTTTTTCGATTTCAAGACGACCGGACTCAGTACTCTGTTTTTCTAAAATATAAGGCTGAATAAATTATTAGGAAGGAATAATTAAAGGCGCTTGAAACATTGGCCAAATAGACTCACCTTGGGCATCCTTCGGTCTGTTTCAGCTTTGTTGTAGTCAAAAATGGTCTTCCTCTTCTTCCTGAGTTTGAAATCAGAAAAAGCTTGCTTAGGACTTTGAAGAAACTGACCATTTTTACGTGGAATTTTAGAGTACCTGTCTGTAGCAGCAGATATTACATCAGTATTCTTATTTTTCTTCTTTATTAATTGCAACTTAAATTGTTTCTTCGGCAAAATTTTAGCATATTTGAAGTTTCGACTAAGCTCGTATTCCTCTTGGGACCTTCTTTCTCCAAGATTTAGCGGAGCCCCTCCTGCTAAGGTTTGTTTAATTTTATTTGTCATTTTTGAGGTTAAATATTTTATTTTTGATCAAATCATGACGGCTTTTGAGCATTTTTATAAAATCTTGCTTAAAGTTACCTAGCATACTTTCAAATGCTTTAGTGCTGATTCTGTAAACAACACCATTCCCTCCAACACTTTTGACTGTATAGCTATGACTGGTCCCATAAAGAAAGCCATCTTCTCCTGCGATGCTTCCTGTGGATAGGAGAAGTACAATTTTCGATTCTTTAATGCTTTGGATATCATAATAACCAAGCGAGTATTCCACTTTATTTGATCAGTTCAAAGTCTCCTTGCTTGATGATCACCAGCTCATCAGCAGGTTGCCCCTGTTGGATAATCTCTTCATGAATTTTAACTCTTTCCTCCTTAAACCCTTTTGTAAGGAAACGTTTTAGCTTTAAGTAGTTCAAGTTCTTGCTCTGATACGGAAGATTGTAGTAGAGAAAGATAGCCTTTGCTTCTTTTATCCTCCTAACTGACTCCTTCATCTGAGTTTTGAAGATGTCTTGCTTTACCCTAAGAATCCAGCAAGGTGTTTTAGCAATGGCTGAAGTTTGGTATATAACTTTATTGTCCAAAAGATCTTCCTCTCCAAATACATCATTCTTTGAGAAAGTCTCCACCGCTTTACGCATGTAGATCTCTAGGGTTTCTGAAATTTCAACTTCTCTTTTACTACTATGTAGAAAGTTTGCATTCGGTTCCATATCATCTATGAAATACTTTTGACGCCCAACTGAAGAGAATTTTTTAAGTGCGTTAACAGCTTTTAGCTCAGGGATTGCTTTAATTAAAAGCCTCAACAGCAAAGCAGCTATGACATGGTGTAATTTATTTTTAGCCTGCGAGAAGTTGAGAACATACTTGAGATCCAGAGTATGCTCTTCTACTTTTACCACCTCGCCCTTGATTACATGGTAGACGTTCTGAATGGGTCAGCCTTTTCTATAGATGTACTGGCAATTCTTGACGTTTATAATATCCATGGAGAGCATTAACTTCTTAAAATCCTCATCTCCATATTCTAAGTCAGAAATTTTGTCCTTTAGGGATGAAATTCCTGAAAGAAAATTCATGAGGGACTGTTTCTCAGGCTCACTTAAAGCATTATCTCCCGCTTTATATTTTTGAAGGGTTGATTGAAGGATTCTCATACCAAGATCATTCTTTAATTCTAACTCTGTAGAAAGCCTCCGGATGGCCTCTTCTGGGTCTTCTTCAAAATGGAGGCTTCTCATCCTCTCTACTCCTTTCCGGACTTGTTCGATTAGTTTTTCGTAATCCTCGTCACTCAAAACTTTAATAGTTTCTTCTTTTTCTCTAAATTATGGTAAATACTCAGAATATCGGTAAGTTTACATACTTTTTAAGCTTTTCTTCATGAAGTTGAATGTACTGGGCTATCTCATCGAACATTTTATATATTTTAATACTTTTCAGCTTAATAATGCTCTTTAGGGGTTTTGGGGTTTTGGGGTTTTGGGGTTTTGGGG